TGAAGAAAATTTTACTCAAATGTATATAATGTCTGCAGGACTTTTGGTATTGAAAATAGGCCATGTAGGTCCACGTTTCTATTTTCGGTATATAGGTAATTGAGGCGACATTATTCACCGGAATTATTTAAAATTTCGTATTTGAAGTTCGTAATGGGTACTACAGCCTATGACAGAAATTTTTGTATGCAGGTCCAAGTCTTCGTATAGCCCTCGTATAACGGTACCTCCCTATATTCGGTATTTTGATGATTTTAGCGACTTTATCTACCGGAATTGTTTCAAATTGTTTCGTAATGGATATTACAACCTAAGACAGAAAATTATCTGTGCAGGTCCGTGTCTTTGTATAGCCCTAATATAATGGTACCACGTTATATTCGGTATTTTAGCTATATTATTAAACGAATTTTTTCAAGTTTCGCTATTGAATATTTTAATGGCCTATGACAAAAGTTGCCTACGCAGGCTTACGTCGACGTATAAAACGGCTACATTCACTATTTTTAAGATTTTGACAGAATATTTATTTTTTGGAAAATTGCTAAATTCGTTCCAAATGGTGGAAGGTATTCAAATTTCGGCCGGCCTGAACTTTCAGCTGTTTTTGCTTGTTTTATCATTCGAAATGGAATCCACGATGGAAAAAAATATGATGAAATTATTCATGGTGAAAGTTCCACAACCTTACTCTTAGTATTTTTATCCTGTGTAATATATACTAAAATTGTGGATTTTTTTAGTTTTTAACTCTTAACAATGCAGATGAGAAGACACGTTTGGTACCTGTATTGAATACATTGTTAAAATTAAGTCGAACGGAAACAGAAATGCTGAATTGTGTTGCGAAAGGTCAAAAAGGTAAAACGAAAACAAAAGGCTTACCATTTCATCATTTGATTATGTATGATGATGTTTCTTTTTTTACGTTTAGTTGCAGATACGAGCCAACAGCGCAGCGGTGGCTGGGGTAACTTCTTGCCGTGGGGCAGTGGCAATGGTAGCAATAGCAGTAATAATTAAAATTGCATGTTTTATTGTATTTGTTATATCAAGTATTTTGTATAGTATTGTGTTTGGGGGTCGCAGTATGTATATTCCATTCATATTTTTTATACGATAAAAACGTTAAATGTTCTCGTATCAATATCAGTGTAATTTATTGTGTTGTTGTATATATATTTTATATATATGTAATTTCTATTTACGTAATATATATTTTCTTTGAATTTGTAAAGATATAATCCTATGGGAAATTTTAAATAAAAAATAGTAGTAAAATATAAATAATAATTTATACAAGTATATAGGAATAATAATTCGTTAATCTAAGATATACATTGCGGTGTATGTTTTTAATGAGTATAAGCCATGTTTGTTATTCATACACTTATGTTTATATTTCAAATATATGAAAATACTTAAATAATAATTACTAAATAAAAAATAAAGTTATACATCACAATTATGCGTATCTACAATGTAATCCATATTAAAGAAAAACGTCCTACAGAAATCCTTAATTTTTTCTAACAATTCTAATAATGAGAAAGCTTTTAAATCTAGGATAGGTTGCCGTTTTGCAACTGTTATGGGAATAGTAATTTAAAAATGTCGTAATATGTTTTTGGTTTTTAAGACATTACGGTGTTACGGAATTTTGAAAGTAGTTTCTGTTGCAGCTATTGATTATTTTTTACAAAAAGTTTCACTTTGTTATTGTGATTGAAAATTACTTCCAATTTTTCAAATGCTTTAATGCGAACGGTTAATTTAAGTAGCAGGAAAATACATATTGTTTTAAAAAATATATATTGCGCATATACTATACACCAGGCAAGGATACCATAGATGAAGATTGACTGTCTATAAACTAGAATATTTAATTTTTCCTAAATTAACTTAAATTTTAATCAGTTTTAAATTCTCACTTTGCTATACTTAATAACAAATGAAACTAGGCTAAGCTCTGACGGGGGCATACAAATTACTGCCAAACCCCAGCGTAGTTTCCCACTAAAGTCGCTGGCAAAGGACCGCCGGCAGCAAAGAGACGCATTCCAGTACTATCATAACAATGTGTATAAATTGCGGGAACATATTTTACATTGAAACCGTCCATTTCATCTTCCGGATACTGGAATGGAGTCATACATTTTGTTGACAAAAGTTTTGAAATAATTTAAATGTCAATTACTTACCACTATACCTTTACTGCATTTCAATGTCACGGTACGTGATGCATTAACACTACTCTCCAAGTATTTTCCAGCACGAATGTCATAGAATAAAAGCATTCCCAGGCCAGTACCAACTGTAAGTAAGTTACCCTCAAAGGATGTGGCGCGTATTCCACAGCCGCTATAACGTGAAGTTATTTTTTTGATTGTCTAAAAGAGACAAGAAAAAATTGGGTAGATATATATCATTGATGAAAATGTACTTTGGATTAAAATGTATTTACCTGCAAAGTTCTTGTATCCAACAAAATTGTATATGAACGACATCCAATGGCGTACAGGCCATCACTGTGGTATGCTATGCTCACATTATCTTGACAATTTGGCAGTTTACGAGATAGTTTCTGTTTAAATGTTTCAGCATTAAACACATGTATATACCCATTCAAAGAGAGGGCTGCGATTTCCCGAAATTCTTTATTGAAACACAAAGAACGAATCTACAAAAAAAAACGGAAAACAATGCAAATAATAAACCACAACGGATTCTCATAGAATTCAATACATATTTTGAAATATGCTGCAACTGTTTCGAATATATAATTTTGTTCTTGGACAGTTTCAAGCCAAGTAAAATGCAGATAGACCGAACTATCTGGAATGGGAGTGATTGCAGATGTTTCGAAAAGCGAAACTATCGAGGGAGAGAACAACTGACAATGAATATTTCTGTGAAAACCATTTTACTTACTCTCTGGGCTGTGCGGCAGTCACGAACACATAGTGGATTAATTGTGGCGACAGTTGGGCAAAATTCTTTACCCCCATCTGGAAATTCCATGTGTTCTTCATTAACACGCCACAGAGCCATGCGTGAATCCTTCGACCCGGACACTATAAACTGGTCATCAAGCCAACACATTCCCATAATCAGATCTCTATGTCCATTTTCACCAACACATACAGGATCTAGAGTTGGCAAACGATATATAGCAATATCGGCGGAGTTTCTAGCCCCAGTGGCCAAGTATGTACGACTTGGATTAATTTCGATTGCATGCAGTCCACCTTGGACCTCAGGATGATTGGGTCGATTTGTTGACAGTGTAGGAATTGCATCAACACGACGCATATTTACATCGTAAACCAAAAGCTAGAATGAAAGTTCGTTCCAATAAAAAACAAAACCTTTTTTTGTCTATTATTGCTTACCTTATTGCATTTAGTGCCAAATATTACTTGACGATTGCTTAACCATTTTGAGCAAAATACCTTGTTAATGTAGCCTAAACTTATTTGCGTTTCCCGCAGCATATCATGCGTTAAAACATAGCGACTGGTTTGCTCGAAATTGAAACTGCGTCTCTGTAAGAAGGAATTATAGTTACAAAGTATTCTAGCACGGCTACATAAATATTTACTTCATTCAAGCCATTCTCCCTGCTGCGAATAAAATCATAAACATTGTAAGATGTGTGAAGAACTTCCTCCTGTTGTTCTGGAGTTTCCTCATCACTACCGGAATCCTCATACGTCACAAAGTCATCGGGTTTATCAGGCTTTCTTCGACGCTCTGCCCTCAAAGCTCTAGCTTTAGCTCGCCTTTCATCCAGACGGGAATTTACATGGCACGAAGGATACGTTCCTACTATACTATTTCGTATGGTTTGAACCATGCCATTGAACATTTTGTTGGAAGGATTTGTCTTATAAATGAGAAATAGTATGAAACTAATAGCTTTAAAGAGAGAAGTTTTTGTTGAATAAATTAATTTTTTTTCAATAATTTGGTAGTGTAAAAACACTCAAATATCGTAGCTATACTGCAATTGCAGGTAACGGCGTAATGAAATAGTTTTGACGCGTTATTTTATAAAAGGAACCATAGGAACTACATACAGTTGAATCGTTGGTTTTTCTTTAAGTTTTTCAACTGATTTAAGGTGGAAATACATAAACCCATAAAAGGAGGTAGAACAGCTTCGTAAAACTACAGAAATGCAGCCCTGAGGCTATGCCCGCTTCCTGTCAGACTCATTCAAAAGTATATACATCTTTCTTTTCATTTTTTTCATATTTTTTCTCCTTTTGAAAATGAGTAGCGCGAAAAATGAATGAAATGCCTGGATTTTAGCTCAAAAATATGATCCAAACTGTTTAATATTTCAATTTCATGGCTAAACTTGTTAACAGCTTTAATGCGCGACCCGGAATGTACGTGTCTTCCTATCATTGGTTTTGAAAATATTTTGTTTTGCATTATTCAAAACAATAAATACATACACGAAATTGGCAGGAGTCGGGCAGACATAGAAAAAAATTTTAACCAGCTGGTAGCTTTATATATTGTACCATGCATAAAACTCCTTTTTGACTGGCTTAAATCGGCTGACGAAATTCTTATACTGGAGAAAACCCGCGAAACAAGAATGCAATTTTGGGGTTATTCCACCAGATTGAATCTATAGTAGTAGGACAATACAGATTTATTCCAAAATTGTACAATGGGCTGCCCATTAAGGTCGAAAATATGCATTTATTTTGCAACCGAATTTGAAATTCAAATTATTTTTTTTTATTCAAAACAATGACTTAAGCCAGCCAAATATGCGCTTTATGTATTTACACCCTTAGAATACAAAGTAAAACAGAATATTAGTTTTCTCTTTAATGTTCTCTTTTGCAGACTCATGTGCAAGCCCACGCTTTTAAGCAGTGCCGACGTAAAGGAACAAGGCTATTGACAACATAAATATAATATCGATAATATCGAATGTACCATCGATTGTTTGCTAGTTTTAATTTTTTTATTTAATTTTTCACATATAATTTTGTATTTTCCCCAATAACCAAGCCGACGGATTCCCTTGTAGCCACATGCGTGCGTGTGTGTGTGTCAATATAAAAAGTCGTTCGTTGGTTGGTGTCGGCCAGTTTTAGCCCATTGTTAACCCCATTCACATCGGTCACAATAAATACACGCATATCACAAAATGTCTAAAAAAGACAAGCAAAAACTGCAAGACGAGTTACGGGAGCAAATTGGGAGCGATGAATATCCACTGGTCAAGAACACTAAAATTTACGATCTGACGGAGGAGCAATTAGTTACAATGCTAACGGAAAGAAAAATAGCTGTCGAATATCCCATTGATCGTGTGTTATGTGAAGCTTTACTTAAAGCTTCCGTAAACGGCGACACCGTGGTTTTAGTGGAGTTGGTAAAAATTGATTCCTTAACATATAGTCAGCTAGAAGAGGCAATAAAAAAAGTAACCAAACCAAGAAAAACAATACGTGAAATACAACAAGAGCTGGCGAAGAATTGTGGCTATGGCGATGATGTCATTTGGGATCAGTAAGTCTTAATGATAAATTTAAAACGCAATTTTATACAATTACATAAATTACACAAATGAAAATATAGCAATCAGCTAATGACCACTGCTGTGTTGATGCACCAGTCGACAATAGGCATATACCATTTCTTGAAATGGTGGTTGTTATAACAGCAACAATCGAAGGTCTGGGTATATCCAAACCTTCCATTTCTCTTTCCGACACCAGCCTTTGTAAATCGATACCGGATTTCAGCTATATAAATGGAGATACGTTGAACGTTTTAGTTGTCGGCAGGCAACTAAAATATGTATTATTTTATATTTAAAATCATTGGGTCAAAAACAGAAATTGTATAAAGAGTCCGTATACTCTTATCATTTGTTCCATTTATGTAATACAAAGCCTATAAGACCATGTACAAGTATTACCAATTATGTTGAATTTATGCCGAAAATAGAATTAAAAACTTACTTTTGTTTCTAGGTTGAGCAAAAAGGATAGCAAAATTATGCAGTCTAAGATCAAACAACTTATTCCAGATCAGGAAACCGGCCAGAAGGGCATTGAAAAGATGCGAGAGAATATCTTCGAAAGTGTATGGGCTCAAAGTATGTATGACGCATATAAATATTTATAATAAAAACCCACTAAATATGTTTGTATGTATGTATTATAGGAAAATATACAAATGGAAATTCATGTACATACATATTCTATGTAATGGTAACAGAGGAAACTGATTTTAATATAGCGCCGGATTCAACCAAATATTCATGTCATCCGATATTTCGATGTAAAAAATGTGATGGTAAGCTAAATGGAAGTGATATAATGTAGAATACCAATCAATCAGTATCGATCTAAATCTTTACTAGTAACACAGAAGTTGACATAATTCAACATATAAAACTTAAACTATGATCTTATCAAGTATAATAACTGATAGTATATGGTTCCTCTGAATATTGAAGTTTTTAACTACTATTCGGAGAGGTACAGTATATTAGCACGGTATATTATTGAAAATAATCATACCTGTGCTGTTATTCTGGAGCTGTATTCTTGTTATATGAAAACGTTAAATGAATATTTTTTTTTTTATAAAATGTTTCATTTGACTTTTATTTCCTTTATAAAAGTTTCTATTTAACATTTTCAAATATCGAGAATTGAGGCCCTTTAGTTCATCTACAATTTTCGGCATATTCGCTAAAAAAAGGTGTAAGCTAAAGCAACTAATGTATAACCCAGCATAAAAGAGTGTTTCACAATAGCTGATCATCAACACGGATTCCGGAAATTGCAGGGCACAACAACAGATTTACACGCCATTTCCACAAGTGTCAGCAGAGGTCTCAACCAGAACAGGCTGAGCGGAAGAACAGTTATGGTGGCACTTGATTTATCAAAAGCCTTTGATATAGTCATCATCATGCCACACTGTTCGAGGACATTGAGCGCACCGCCCTCCGGACAAGTTTGAAACGTTGGACAGTAAACTACATGTGTGGACTCCAGTCGCACGTGGAACTCAGAAACAAGAAGTCGAGCATCCGTAGAGTTAAACAGGGAGTTCCCCAAGGTGGCGTGATATCTGACATTCCACACCCTCCAGACGGCATAGAGATAATAACGTACGCAGATGATTGTACGCTCGTGGCGTCCGGACCCATAATTGATGACATTTGTGATCGGTTAAACGCTTACCTTGTTGATCTTACCGCCTTTTCATGACGGCCACATTTTACACCACATGAACTGCGGTGCAGTAATTCTAACCACCAACTACCCCAAGTTCTTAGGGGTCACGATAGCCTCTTTAAGTCGTCTGCACATACTGCAGCTATCTGCGATAAGATTAGAAGTAGGAACAAGGTCCTCAAGTCTCTGGCCGGCAGCACTTGGGGAGCCGATAGGCCGGTCTGTGGTAAACTATGCGGCTCGGGTGTAATCTGCCAACGTTAGGGCTACGCAGTGGAAAAATATTCAGTCCTGCCAGAATGCCGCCCTTAGAAACGCCAAATTGGTGCACATCAATTTATAAAACATTCATTTAAATATTGGTTAACATATATATTAGAAAAATTGATTAAATATGACTTAAAAAGAAAATCTAAAAGTTAAATGGCATGAAGAATATAAAATTACACCAAATTAAATTATAAAAATGCCATAGCATTTATCTTCATATTTTTTTTTGTTGTTTCAGCCAATAATGATAGCAGTAAATGTTGTATGATTTATGTTGATGAAACAGGACGTGTTTATCCAAATTGGAAGTCGTTTCTTGAAGAAAATGTACTACCAGCTGGTACAATGATATTACCACGACGTGGTGTTTACAATTTCGATAAGAATGACGATGTTATATTGGATGTTTATTGCACTCCTAACGGTACACCTGGAGCTAAACTTATGAATGCAGCACAAACTAGTTCTGCAGTATTGGGTGTTGGTGCAGCCTGTGTACCAATTGCTGCGGCCCTAACACTTCCTGTTGCTGCCCCAGTAATGGCAGCAGCTGGATTAGTCGGTTTAGGCGTTGGTGCCTTTTCGACCATAACATCAGCCTTAAATTTACATGATCGAAAAAAACACGAACAATCAATCAATATTACAGATAGTCAAGCAAGAGCAAGTTATTTGGGCATTGCGGGTGGAGTTCTTGGTATGGCGGCTGCAGGTGCCACACGTTTTTTAAATTCAATGGCAGTTGCAGGAAAAGCCACAGCGGTAAGAAAAAAAATTAAGACGGCATACTATTCAGGCATAATCATTTTATGCGTTTTTTTTCCTGCAGGGAATTGAAGTCGTCGTTAACGGCATTAATATATCAACCATACTCGTTTCTGGTACTGGTCTTGCCAATGGCGTTTTGGATATAATATTTGTAAGACAACTTTTCGTACAGTTTTTGCATTTCTTTTGATTTTGTATTTTGTCCTAACAGAAATATAGAGACGACGATACGCTTTCAGCTTTGGATGTTTTACAATTGTCTGCTTCACTGGTGATATTTACTCATTCCGTCTGTAACTTCCAATTAGCATCAACAATTGCAAATGAAGCCCGTACAAATTCAATCAAAAGTTATCGTGAAACTTTAAGCAATCGACAAAGGTGAGTGATGAATTTTTCACTTTTATTTTGTGTAAATAGCTTAAAGAATTGTGTGACAGCATCCTATATTTTGTCACAAACGGAAAACCTAGAGTCTATCGATTTGTAGTAACCATTTTTTACATTCTATTCACAGACGTATTTTCGATAAAATGTCAAAGGAAACAATACGCATTCGTGGTGATACCCAAGGGAAAATGGATATAATACGTAATATCAACAAAATACCAGATCGCCAGTACCTAAATGACCTGTTCAAGGTTAATAAAAAACTAAATGAAGCCAAAGTGCGACCGGCGTTTAGTGCATCCGATGAGGGTGTTGTCTTGAATAATGAAATGTCCGTCAATACAGCTGCTCTAAGGCAAAATATTAATTTGTTGGAACAAGTTTCACAACCAATACCCGCAACACATACGGATGGTAATAATACTGCCTCAACTGGACCGGCACGTCTATTGTTTAGTGGAACAGGCCGAATAAACCCAGATGGTTTTCTTAACTTGGAAGAAACTCTTAATGACAGAGAAATCAGTGGATCTTCTGGTAGAACAATGGACGTACTCAGAGGGCTGAGTGTAATGTTGCCAAGTGGTATTATCGTTGAGTTGATTGCATTTGGAGAAGGGTTTTTAAAACAAATCACAGATGGAGAAAAGTTTCAAGATGTCATAGAAACTATGGCCTCAAAACTTCCCGAGAAAGTAGTAATTTTTGTTTTTGAGTTGACACAACATTTTATGGAAGTCATGATGAGAGAAATTGCGAGTGTTTTACATTTTTACATATCCACCGAGTCGGTTTTATATCGTATTCTGAAATATATACTTACAAAGCTGGAGTTTTTCACCTATGACTATATTGTCACAAAACGCCAAGAAATATTACTATATTTGAGAGAACATTATCTCTCATTAAACTCGAATAATAACCAAGCTACTTCTACGAAATGTAGTGAATGTCACGGATGGTACTACATATGCCAGTTGTAGTTTTAAAATTAAATTATATAAACATCCATGACAGGAAACTTATTTGGTGCCTTATTTACAAACGCCACAAGCGTACTCATTTTATTGCACAAACTATAGAAATAGATGAAAGCGAGCTTTTAAAACTCTAGATTAAAAGTGAATAAAAAGCAATAAAATTATTGTATACATTTTATGCGTAATATGTTTTTAGTTCCCAAAAAAAGTATTTTTGCCTAATGTTCTAATATTTACATAATATCATATCCAAATAAAATCCTTTGTTGTTTTAATTAAACTCGTTTCACTTCAAAAATTGTATGCCGAATGGATTACACACTTTCTGAGTCGATTTATGCATGTCCGTCCGTCTGTTCATGTATTTTTGTAAACAAAGAACAGGTCGCATTTATTGTCCGATCCAGATGAAATTTTGCAGAAATAATTTGTTTGACCCAAGGACGAACCCTATTGAAATTGGAGATAATCGGTCAAAATTTAGATACAGCTCCCACATATATCTTCGTCCGATTTGCCTTTTATTGTGCACCAAACGTGTAATATTAGCCCAAATATTATGAAATTCTGCACATGCGACCAGATTAGGCCTGAAAATAAGTATGCCAAATTTTATCGAATAGGAGCTAAAGCTCCTATATAGATTGTTCAGCCGATTTGTTATTTTTATCCTCCACATTCACTCTGCAACAACGATATTTGGGAAAAAATACCAAATACAACTCATAAACACCTTTACTAAATTTCATCGAGATCGGTTCAGATTTGGATATAGCTCTCATATATATCTTCGTCCGATTTTTCTGTTATTGTGCACCAAACGTTAAATATTAGCCCCAATAGGATGGAATTTACTTACTTACGACCGAATTGAGTCTAGAAGGTAGTAAGTATGGTGAAGATCGGTTCAGATATAGCTATAGCTCCCATATATATTGTTCATCCGATTTGTTGTATTTGTTACCCACATCCGTAATATGCACTCCGTAACAACGATATTCAGGGAAATATATCAAATACAGCTCAGAAATATCTTTGCCAAATTTTATCGAGATTGGTTCAGATTTGGATATAGCTCCCATATATATCTTTATCTAATTTCAAATTAATTTAGCACCAAACGGGCAATATAATTCCGAATTTAAAAGATACAAATGCTTCGGCATATTTAGTCCTTTAAATTTTAAATTATAATTATAATCATAGGGTGTATGATTGAATTCTCCTATAAAAACTTTTGTTATGTGGAGCTCTACTAAATTAGCAAAGTGGTGTTGGGTATCATAAAGTCGCCCTACTTTTTACTTTCTTTGTAAGCCAAACTTTGTATTAACAAACTACGCAAATAATAACAAGTAAAAATGTAGCTAAAACATAAAAATACCGAATATAGGGTGGTACCGTTATATGGGGGATATACGACATCGTGGACCCACATTGACAATACTTTTCCAGGGGGTAAAGCACTCAGAAGAAACTTCTTTTGTGGATTTTCGGTCAATTTCATTGAACGCCATAGATGAAAAAAAGCTCACACCGTTTTTTTTCTAAAAAATTCGGATCACCAGATGTCGTCTTTATCGATGCAGGGGTATGCGTTAATTAGCCTGTTGTCAATGAAAGAGCGTGCTGAGAGCCACCTGTATAAAAAGACAAAACTAACTTTTCGTTGTGAATGTATTCATTAGCTATAGACTCCTTGGCCGACCTTATGTAGGCCTTAACGGCGATCGATTAATATGAATGTAAGTTTACATCTATGCTATCATTTATTTGTGAATGCTTTGCTGCTTCGTTTTACGTCCTTCGTTCTACACTCTTTCTAAATATTCATGAATGCTTCCAGCTGATTGCATTTTCACCATGTCTCATTCGTAAACAACAGAGGCCATCGAGGATTTTGCTTTCTCTTTATTTTTTATCGGGCCATTCTTATTTGTTTCGTTGGGGACGACTTTCATTTTGGTTTTCCAGAAGCAGATGTACATTAGACTCACCTCCTGACAGGAAGATCAAGTGCTTTGGTCACATCTTTTGTTTTTGGCCATTTTTCCTTTACTCTTTTTAAAAACGTGTAGTGTTTTATAATTTATTCAAACAGTTATGCAGCAAACAAGTGAAACAAACTCAGGAAATTCGGATTTAGCATCATCAATTGGAGATTCATGGCAAGACTTGTTAAATATTACCGCAGATCCTCCGGAGAGAAGAACCAAATGTGAATCTTGCAAGTGAGTTGGAGTTGGGATTTAGTACATAAGGCAGGCAAAGACTTATTGTTATTTTATTGATTGATTGAGTATGAGACTTCCCCAGGTTCTTAGGACCGGCTTGTCTTCCACACATAACTAGGAGCAAGTTATCTATACCGTAACATGACATGATTTTACCACTTTTGGGGTTCAACAATTAAATTGGCACCAAGTGTTTTCACCAGTCATGAAGGGTCTACAAAGAAGAAGTAAATCAAAAATTACAAACACTACTATATGTGATATGCAATTGTTTGATGGCCTCAAAGGGTCCTGGCTTTCTGAACAGCCTATGTCGCTCGTACAAAACCAAAACTCCTTCAGGGATGCATATATTGTGACCTGAAAAATATTAAAATTTTTATGTGCCCAAGATCCCTTTATCTGTCCAGTAGCATGGATATGCTATCTTGAAGTCCAGAATGGGACATATGTGACTCAATCGCCATTTTCTAGGCCAGAAAGTTCCCTCAAACGTTGCCTTATTTAAGATCTTACTACGGTTAGAATTTCTCAGAATACCTGCCGGGTCATAGTCCCCACGGACACAATCCGCATTTTTTCGGTCACCGGATTCAGTCTAGAAGCAAGTACATCCAATTTAGTGAAAATCGGCTCAAATATACCTATAGCTCCCATACATATGCTTCATCCGATTCGGTGTTTAAGTTTCCCACATTCGTAATATGCATTCGACAACAATGATAGTTGGTACCAGATATCAGATATAGCTCAGAAATACTTTTGCCAAATTCTATCAAGATCGGTTCAGATTTGGATATAGCTCCCATATATATCTTCAACCGATTTCGGGTTAATTGTGCACCAAATTGCCAATATCAGTCCAAATGACATGAATTCTGGCATATCCGACCGCATTCAGTTTAGAAGCAAGTACATCAAATTTGGTCAGCCCAAATTGAGTGAATTTCGGGACGTACGGCTCCGATATATATTTTTTCAATACAATTCTTCTATATAGTTATCTTTTTTTGGTATAAATTATTAAAATCTCTCCATCAAATTTAGAGAAAATCGAATTCAGAATTGGATAAAAGCCAAAGTTTGATAGGAGGTATGATCTACTTGAAATAAATTCTTTTGTTACGGGAGCTCTACTAAATATGCATAGTGGTGTAGAACATCATGTAGTCGTGCCCGCCCGACTTTTGACATTTCCTTACTGGTTTTTGTATATAAATATTGTGGGTCTTTGAGATATGATACATTCTTTTTGCTCATGAAGGACACATACGGAAGCTATATTTTGTTAGTCTATTAGTCATTAAAAACTCTTTTTTATTGTCATTCTAGGCGCCCAAAAGTTGTCTGCTGGTGCTCATCACTGCCAAATCCCCCACTTGATATTGACAGTACTATTGTCATTCTCCAACATCCTGCCGAAGAAAAACGTACACTTCGAACAGCTCTTATGCTTCAGTTGGGTTTGAAACCCGGCAAATGTGTTGTCTACAAGGGGAAAAAGTTTCCAACACCAAAAAATCAAACAGAATTGGAACCAATTCTGAAATCAGAAAATTCATTGCTACTCTATCCTAGTAAAACGTCAGTGCCTTTAGAGAGTATACGTCAACAAGCTGAGCAGAGTGGGGAAGGGCCATTTACGCTTGTGCTCATCGATGGTACATGGCCGCAGGCTAAGGCAATGTATGCCAGCAGTCCGTTGCTGCATACTATGCGTCAAGTTAAACTTATTGCCGTTGGCACCAGTGACTATATTATACGTACCCAACCCACAGAGGGATGTCTCAGCACTCTGGAAACAGCTGCACAATCCTTGGCTGTTCTAGAAAATCGTCCAGAATTGCGCACACTTTTGGTCCAACCACTACACACGCTATGCAAATATCAGCTGGACAATGGCGCCGTCGAACATCAATCCAAAGAGTTTCGTATAAAAAACAATCAATATCCCAAACAGATTGGTAAACGTTTAAATCGTTTACTGAACTACAGCAACATATGCCGACCAGAAGCCAAAGATGCCGAAGGCCACAATGAAGATGAACAGCATTTAAATGAAATTCGAAACTATACAACCTCAGTATCGAATAGTTGAAATAGCTTCCAAATGCAACAATAGCAAATAATTATTATTTTTCTTAGAATAATAAAACGAAAGTGTATTTTTAATGAATATTTGAAATTGAATAATAGTTTGTCTCTTTATTAGATGCAAGTGCAATTGATGCAGCACATGAAACTCCCATTGGAAATCATAAAATATATATCAACATCATTTGTTTTTCACTTTAGTCCATTAAAGCGGTTGGTTCCTGGCATCCACCAAAGCTCTTATCGTTAAACATTTTGCTATATCATAGGCGCGTACGCAGGGATTTTTTTCATTTGCTAGAAAGTAAGAAAAAGAAAATGTTTGATTTAATGTTTTATTTATATTTAAGATCATTGTTTAAAAATATCTGTTTAATACTTTCAGAAGGATAAGTTATCCCTGTAGCAGTTGTAAAAAACAATAATTACGTAAAATCGGATAATACGACTAACTTTGGAGATTACAATTTTAAATATCCCATTTAAGACTCCCACCTAAGGATAGACGCAAAATTTAGCTCTAGTAATACAATTCTTTTTATACCTTCAGCCATATGGCTAGAGAGGGTATACTAGGTGAGATAAAAAAAATGTAACAAAGTCAATCGCCATATTTTTACTTTTTTTTTTAATTTTATTGAATGAAAGCAAAAAATATGTCGGAAATAGCATCAAATTCTAGAATAAGTTTAGTCACTTTTGGCACGAATTATGGCTTTCAAACAGTCACACGCTGCCCGAATGTTGCTCTGCGGTATTTTGGCCCACTCCCGGCGAAGCGCTTGCTTGAAGTGATCGACACTTTCGTATTTTTTAGTGCCAACCTTGATTTCCAAAAAATACTCCAGGCACAATAGTCCAACGGATTGGTATCCGGAGATTTTGGTGGTCATTGTGCGCTGGAAATGAAGCGAGGAATCTCATTTTGTAACTATTCTTGGGTGGCGCGTGCTGAATGCTATGGTGCTGAGACCTGTTGGAATGTCCAAGGTCTGCGGCCAAAATATTTGCGTGCCCAAGGCTTTAATACACCCTACAGAATATTTTCGCGATTTTCGGCATTTATTCTGATGCCACTATCGATTAAAACGAGTGGAGAACGACCATTGGATGTTATGGCGGCCCACACCATCACCATGGCCGGCGCCTGATTTCTGTTGGCCAACCGAAGGTGCACATTTTCAGCTGACCTCTTTGGCAAGTAATCACGATCATTTTGTTTGTTTACAAACTGCTGGACAACGTGTGTTTTCTCATCGGAGAAAACCAAATTCGGTTCACCACTTTCGGCCAAGCGAAGCAACTCTTTAGCTCTTTTGAGTCTATTTTCTTTCTGTTGCGGTGTACGTTTTAGCACTTTTTGGAATTTCAATGGCTTAACCCTGAGCTCATTTTTCAATATTTGCCAAATGGAATATTGCGATATGTTCAGCTCACGAGTGATTTTTTTCGCCACTGCGACGCGGGTTTCGATCAAGTCGCTTCTTTACTTTTCGAACCATTTCTGTTGATGTTGCTGTTTTCTTCCGTCCACTTCCTTGACGTCGGGCTACGCTACCAGTATCACGGTAAAGAGCGATGGTACGAGACACAAAAGATTTATTCACATTTAAAAGCTGGAGTGCTCTAACGTTAGCCACTTCTGGTTTTCCAGCCAAATATAAAAAAATCGCACTATCACGCTTGAATTCCAGCACGAATAACTTTTTTTCTGGAAAATTCTCACCAAAATTCTTTTGTATGCTTGTAAACACTGTAATGAGCTGTCACTGGAATAATTTTAACAGCTGTCGGACGAGTGGCTTAGAAATGACAATAGTCTGAAGTTGGTTGCAGTTTTTTCATCTCACCCTGTATACCCTGTCTAATTAATTTGAGAATTGCTTCTAGAGGAAACGTGTTCACGATGGAAAACAATATACCCTCTTAAATGCTGTGTAGCAATGAATGCTATTTAGACCTGTCTGATAGGCTTCCCTTTATATCCTTGGACCTCTCTCTATAGATCATGCTGATCCTTCCTGACACACCTTGGTTGGGGAGTTCTGTCCATCATATAATGTTTAGGAAAGCAACGACAGCATATGATTACGCTGACGTAACGGAGAACCTTCGTCTTGTCATGTAAATGGTCATTAGAGAGTCATTATGAGGCACCTTTTTACAGTACTTAGGACGGCATTCTGACATGTCCGAATAGTTTTTCATTGCGGTGCACATGTATAACTAGTAGGATCGTTTGCCTAGACAGGGGATAGACTTAATAGATTATTATGAGATCTATGTCTAAGAAGAACGTTAGTGTTTCCATCTCCCACATACAAAAATATACCATGTTCCCCTTTAATAACATGGAACCTCTGCTTCATCCTCACATAGACTACACTAGTCAAGACCACTGCTGTCCCACTTTGACGTCAGATATTTAATACTGCAGTTGCCAGTCAATAAGTCTAAATCGATTATTAGATCGGGCATGCTAATTGATAGAAATGAACAGGCTTTTTTGCTCAATGGCCTTAGATACCTTGCAGCCGTGCAACTAAATGCGTAGAGGTGGTTTGGCTGTATAATCAATTGGTCGATTCCTGGGAGTTACCCCACTGTGTTGCTATGTTCTGGGACCCAACGAAACTTAATGAATTCTTGCAATTAAAAATGGTTTTCAACTCAATGTCACTTGGCTTGATAGCGATAAGGCCGCCTGACGATCGAGATATATAGCCATTGGTCATGTGTCCAGAGGAGCTTCAACACGAGCTCAAGTGTCTCTATCAAGGGTTTGTAATTGAAATTAAAAAAGGGGACAGGTAATCCCTATTTTTTTCGAACGTAGAACGTTGTGACAAAATTCGCAGTAGTTCCGATTTATTGGTATGTCCAGAATTCGTTCTTGACCAAAACTCGAAAGTGTAATCCTCTTACTTCCATAGTCTGAGTGCACTCCTGCTTGTAACTGAGCCAAGAGATCCAATTACTGGAAGATTAGCAATACATACAAAACAGATTGAGGTGTTTATTTTTCTATCCTCCACCATTCTAGAGAGGATATACTAGTTTTGTCATTCCGTTTGTAACTCCTCGAAATATTCATGATAGACCCTACAAAGTATATAATTCTGGATCAGCATAAAATTCTAAGACGATTTAGCGATCTCCGTCCGTCTGTCTGTTGTGCTCACGCTATCTTTCGAAAGAATTAGGATAGAAGGCTAAAATTTTGCACACATGTGTATTTTGCCTGTAAGCAGGTTAAGTTCGTGAATGAGCCATGTCGCTCCACGTTTTCGTATAGGCCTCCCAATATTCGGTATTTTGATGATTTAAGCGACATCATTCGCTCGAATTGTTACAAAATTCGTATTTGAAGTTCATAATGGATATTACAGCCTATGACAGAAAATTGCATATGCAGGTCCAGGTCTTGATATAGCCCCATATAAAGGTACCTCCCGATATTCCGTATTTTGATGATTTTATCGACATTATTCACTGGATCTGTTTCAAATTTGGTATTTAAAGTTCGTAATGGGTACTACAGCCTATTAAACAAAATTGCATTTGCAGGTCCAGGTCTTGGTATAGCCCCCATATAACCGTACCTCCCTATATTCGTTATTTTGAGGATTTAAGCGACATTATTCACCAGAATTGTTTCAAATTTCGTATTTAAAGATCTTTAGCTACATTCTTCGCCGGAATTATTTAAGATTACATATTTGTTGATCTTTAGGGGTAGAACAGCCTATGAGAAAAAAATTACATATGCAGGGCCACGTCTTCGAATAGCCCCCGTATAAAAGGTCATCATTTAAACGGTATTTTTCGGAACTTATTGGAGTTTTTCAAGATTCTTCCAAATCGTGGAGGGTATAAAAAATTTGGCCCGGCCGAATTTAGCTGCTTTTTAACTTGTTAGAAAATTAATTTTTTTTCGAATTTTCAGGTCCAGCAACATTTCTAAGGTCTTCATGAGGAAAGAACAAAAGGTTAATCGTTTGGTAGTCTTTGGGAAATCAGTGACTAGGTTTCCCAGCTTTGGAAATGAATGTCACTGTTACTTCTTTCCACAGACTGGGTAAGTAATAAAACCTGAGGCAAGCCTTAAAGATTTCCTGCAGGATGTAGACTATCCTGACAAAAGATGAATTTTGCAACATTGCCGGTATCATACTAGGGAATTTAAAAAGTTAAAAGGTGTTGACTGTCTATAAAAGCTTGGGAGAGCGTCTCAGCCTGTAATACTCACCTCCCTCCATCTCGCAAACTTCTATTGAATCCCCCGTTGCTGGCCAAATGTTTAAACGAATTTTAGTTGTATCCAGTTTCCAGTTTTCCAATAGACCGGATTTTTCATACAGGCAACGTAAGAAACACTGCAATGTTAAACTTATAGAAGCGGGGGGCGATAATAATGGATATCGTTATCTTACCATGCCGGTTTTATCGACGACATCAGGCAATTCAGCTGTTGTATTAAAGGTGCGATAGTGATCTGAAAAATTAGAAAATAAACGACTATCAGGTTCTCCATGGATTAAAATAGGATATTCACTATAGTTCTAAAAAAAACATTACATTACAGGGTGAGATGAAAAAACTGTAACCAACTTCAGACTGCTGTCATTTCTAAGCCACTCGTCCGACAGCTGTTAAACTACAAAGGGTCAAAGTTTTGAACAACCAAAACGATCATAATTTCTGAAATAAGCATCCGGTTCTCTTCAAATTACACACATCAAAATATTTTTAATAAACCAAGATCTGGTGTGAAGATGGGATATGCCGGTCCACTCCTTCTGGTACCTCCTCCACAAAGGTTCAAAATTTTATAAATCCATGAAGAATAAAAAACACAAAATTAATATCTTATTCCATTCGGACTTGAGACATCTCAACATTTCCATCAACACAAGATCTGTTATAAATATGGTAGAGATCGGACTATTTCCTTTGGTACATCCCCCACATAGATTTCAAGATTTTGAAAAACAAAACTCTCAAAGAAAACTAAAATACATCCAACTCTCTTTAAATTTCACATCCAAATATTTTTGCTAACACAAGATCTATTGTGAAAATGATATACAT